TTGCAAGGTTAGATTTAATTGCTATGGTCTAATGAAGTAAAAAGGGTGTGAAAAATTAAATATCTCACAATTGAATAGATATATATTTACCTATACCCCGCGATTCAAGTTAAATGCTTGAACATGAACTCAAGCTAGAATTCTAAAACTCGTGCAAGAGCTTGATTCGATGAAAATAATAGTTTATTCAAGCTAGCTAGTCGACTTGGATATGCTTGATAATTTGTGAATCTTGAATTAAGCTTGATTTCAGGCTCAAATTTTATAAATTATTAAGTTTTTTGAATAAAAGATACAATAGGCACTTGACAATTATAAACATAAAAAAAATCAAATAAACAACATTTACAGTTAAATATTTGGAGGTGGAGACAACAACAGGTATTTTTATATGTTTAGGAATGACAACGGGATTTAGGACTCACTCCCTGCCCCCATAGCAAGCAGGCCCATAGCCATTAAGATTTAAGACATTGCACAATACATCTTTTTTGACATGGTAAGAAAAACTTTAAACTGGCTTAATGAACTATCAATGATTGATTGGATGAAGATAACTCCTGCTTTGATTATGACTTTTTGTTAATGAAGCTGAGGTGAAAATTAATTAGTCAAATGAATGATACATAATGCAAAACATTAGGAATTTAACTTCCAATTGTGCCTTCCCATAATGCAAAAGATCACAATAGATAGATTAGATATTCATAAACCTATTTCGTCTCTGGTCTCCTTTATAAGCTCATTGTCATGGATCGTATAATTTCTTCATTACTGAGCTATCACTTTTTAATCCCAGCTTTCACTGTTTGAAAATCATTGGTATCAATACTTGCGTCGTGGTCGATATGCGTAAACTGTAAGCTGGTGGAAGCTTACTGACGATTTCGGTTGGCATATTAAATCAAGGTTGAAAAATAAAAATTTCTACATTATTATTTAATAGTTTTTCAAATTAAGGTCTTAGTAACTCTATTTAAGTCAAGTTATCGTAGTTTTATTATCAAGGAATTAGTATTTTATTAGACGATTTTTTATGATTGTAAGACTTATTTACTAAATCATCTAGTCTACAAATAGGGAGTCTTATTGTTATTATTAGTTAAGGAGGAAAATTTGATAGTCTTGTTATTATGATGCGTATTTAATATATTGTTATAGGTATTATTTTTTTTCTCCCACAGATACTCTTTTGTGTGTAAATTGCCTCTCTATGTACATTATTTCTATTAAATTTATCTCCTATCTTTATTGGGTTGTACAATTTATGTATTAAGTTCTGACAACGAAGTTTAGCTCATTTCCGGATTTCCCTCGAAAATATACCAAGAAAATCAGGCCCCATTAGTTCCAATTGTTTGGGCTATATAAGCAAAACTACAAGAATCTGTAACAGCTCAAACATGTTCCCAATCCAAAGAAACTTTTATCATTCAATCATCAGTTTGTAGCCAATTAATCCACCTTTGCCTTCACAGCTCATTGAAAGCCCGAATACCATGTGGGGATGGATTTCGTTCGTCAACATCAGTAAAAAAATTTCTCCTACTCTTAGTTGCCATGAGCTTTTCAGTAAACCATGCTTCAGCTGCAAAACTATTTCGAAATGAGACTGATCGACTTGATCTGCTTGAATTCAAGAATCAGATATACGATGACCCGCTTGGAGTTCTGAACTCGTGGAACCATGGAATGCAGAAATTGTGAGAGCAGTTGACTTAAAATTATAGACTTAAAAAGTCCGTCAATAGCAACTGTTTGGTCCTTCCTGGAAAGTAGTTGAGTGAAGTGGACAAGTCATTTAGCAGACAGATTGTCGTAGACATGAAAGAATAATAAATTGTGGCCCACGAATATAGAAATTGTGAGGGTCTGAAAATTGAATAATCTCCCGATGCTCAAAATTTGTCGATAGAAAAATTTCTTTGTTGCCTCTCCCAAACACATTGAGATTCTTAGCTGAAGTAGAAAGGGAGGCGAAAGACCAAAACAAAGCAAAACGGACAATGTCATCCCAAAGTATTTGTCAGAGTGTAATTTACTTCAACAAAATCCAGTGCCTCCTTCAAGTCATGCTCAGGGCATGCAAGGAACAACAAAAACTAAGAGTTCATGGCTACTGAGTGCCAGATTGACAAACAAAGCCTCGTACGGGAAGCTTTCTACTGTTTCCTAAGAAGAACAGAACATCATGTCCAGTTCTTTGACAGGCTTGAAATCTATGCGCTAAGGAATGAGATAGAATACACATTCTCATCCTTCATTTCTGTCTCAAGAAAATGGCAACTTCAGAAGGAGAAATTCACAGAGAAATTCATCCACCAAAACCCATTACTTTCTCATACAAATCCCTTTTGGTGGAAGTCGATGTGGTAATCGACTTGTATATGGTCATGTCTTTACTCATAATTTTGCTTTTTCAAGAAATTAATTTATTTTACCTAAAAAGTCAAAAACTAATAGCGGGGTCAATTAAAGGCAGAAGCAATTTAATTTTCTGGCCTTGCATATTGGGCACACTAGCAGAACCAATGCTCAATGTGGATGACCAGAAGGTGTTCCTTCTTGGGACGAAAAGTAAATCAGACAAAAAGGCCAATTATGACGTATCGATGTCATGTCATTATGGAGTCATCAATGTACACATCAGCGCTCATAAACTCAATGCCAATTCGCAGACTTCTAATGTATCTATTCCTACGTTTCTTTGATGGCTTGTTTTGGATTTTTGCTTCAAGTTGATGGAATAACTTAATGTGGTGGGGGAGGGATGGGTTGGATCGTTCAGAAGAGATAGGATTGTCAATGAAATTGGAATAAGTTGAGCTTGGCCTACTAGGCTCGAGAAAAAGTCCAATGAATCTAATCTTTCGTTAAAATAGGTGTTTGGATCTAAATATTAAACTCGAATTAAATATGAGCCTAACTTGGACCTTATTAGGTTCAAATCTGATATTGACCCGATAAAATTATAACTTGATGTAAATATATAATAATAATACTTTATACATTATGTGTCAAAATATATTAATATATATAAGAAATATTAACTATACAAAATTACGTCTACAGATTCAGAAAGACAAATCTTAGTATGAGTAAATTGAGGACCTTTGAAGATGTATTTACTGTTGTTCATGTTTTATTACTATTTTTCATGTACTTTGAATTAATTGGATATATTATTATTATTGAAAAATTCTTGATTATATACTTTCTAATGAGTTGTTATCTGTTACTGGTTTGTATATAGTTTTAATGCTATGGTCCTGTGGATATTAAATTAGTTTTAGAACTTAATAGTTATAATACTTATATTGAGAAAATTAAGGAGCAATGATAGAGCAGTTATTGGGCATATTTTGCAGTGTTATTTTGGCTTAATTTTGGCTATTTACGGTGCTAAGTACTGAGGTTTAACTCATATCTCACATTCGTATGAATTATAGGTGATCGGCATTAAAAATGATCTCGCGGGGTAGATTTCCAGAAGACTTGTCGTCCCAGGACGTGACCACGCCTTGGAAAGTGGACGAAACCGAAAGACGGACCGTGGTCCATGTGGACCAGCCGCATGGGATCAAAACTCCAAAAGGAAAATAGCTTTTACGTTGCTTTGAAGAGAGAATTTTCCTGCAGCGGCTAGAAGAAAAAAAGAAAGCAAGATTCAGGCCCACAACTTTTTAGCCTTAGGTTCTCTGGTCAGACGCTTTCCCCGGTTTTCTTTCTTTTACTTTTGTTTCGCCTGCGGCTAGCGGCCAGACATTGAATATTTCTGCGGATTGCACTTGGGCTCTGTACAACGGAAACCCTTTTCACTTTTTGCTTTTTACTCTTCTAAATTCCGTGAGATTCCCCTTGTGTTTCTCCAATTCTTCGGAAATCAATTGAATGTATTCAATCAAATTACGCGGGATTGACACGATGAGGAGCGGCTAATTTCCTCCTCTACCCAAAGGTTGACGCGAAGGCGTGGTCCATAATATCTGTGAGATCTAACCGAATCTTCATTATTTCCTCCAATTAATTGCTATTCGTGCGTTTCCTGAATTAATTGTTCATGGGTATTTTATTAATTGAATATCAACGGCCGGGTATTTGATTTAATTTAATAGCCTACTGCCACGTTAATTAAATAGAATCCGTAATTGTTCATTTAGTTAACACCCTGTGGCAACCACCATAATTGGTTTTATGATGGGGAAACGCAAGATCTAATTTAAATAAACCCTCTTAGCGTGTGTATTGGTTAGGGTTGGATTCTTCTAGCTTTAATGCAATTGGGTAATTAAATTCCTACGGTCGTACCTAGGGTTGTTATCTAGTTAGAGAAGCAGTCAATGGTCGTACCTTGACTGTCGAAAAAGTAAAGAAGAGCTGGTTGTCAGAGCTTATTGATGGCTATAACCAACCTAGTGATAAATGGATGAAATATCTTTGCATCGATGAGCATTTATTTGGACCGTGCCTGAGCAGTTAATCCTTTGGGTAGACTTTTATTAATTGCTATTTTTAGTGAATTGTGCTTTGTGAGTTGGTTTTGAATTTAGTTCGCTTCATTTTTATTTTACTTTTATTTTATTTATTTCCCTCCCATGAAAATCCCCCAATTTTGCTCTGCTGATTTGGAAAGAAATAATTTCCTACCTGCTCCCTGTGGAATCGACCCTACTTGCCATTGTACGCAAAATTAGTATTTTTATAGACAAACCCGGTATATTGGATCAAGCAAACTCTTCGGGAATAGGGTGAATCGAGTAACCCATTGCACACCTAGGGTCCCTGCTCCAGTACTTGGATTTGTTCTATAATTATTTAATTGAGGTGGTAATTAGGACTTTTTAGTAATTATTATTGCACAGGTTCGGCACCTGTCAATTTTTGGCGCCGTTGCCGGGGAGCTGGCGTTTGGATTATTTGTTTCTTTTCAAATTCAGTTTTTATTTTATTTTATTCTTCTTGGTATTTTTGCTAGTTTATGCCCTGTTCTTCTCGCACAGGTGAATTGATATACGACGCGGAGGTTGAGAAGGCAGCGCGTAAGCGGAGGCAAGAGACCAAGAGACGAAAAGAAGGGCACTTATTTATTGCAAACGAGTCAGTAGAAGACGAAATAAGCATGGCCAACACCCAAACATTGAGGGAGTTGGCTGCCCCGGAGTTGACTCACCAGCCCTTATGCATCACGTTCCCCACTTTGGCAGAGAATACTGCTTTCGAACTGAAGTCGGGGCTGATTCACCTCTTACCTTCTTTCCATGGTCTCTCTGGCGAAGAACCCCACAAACATGTCAAGGAGTTCGAGGTAGTTTGCTCTAGCATGAAACCTCCTGGGGTCACTGAGTAGCAGATAAGACTTAGAGCTTTCCCCTTCTCTCTCAAGGATGCAGCAAAAGATTGGCTATACTACCTACCAGCGGGTAGTATTATCACATGGGCACAGTTAAAAAAGAAATTCTTGGAAAAATTCTTCCCTGCATCCCGAGCTGCGAGTTTGAGGAAGGAGATATGCGGCATTAAGCAATATCCCGGTGAGTCCTTGTATGAATACTGGGAAAGGTTTAACAAGTTGTGCACTAGATGCCCGCAGCATCAAATTAGTGAGCAACTGTTAATCCAATACTTCTATGAGGGGCTCCAATCAACAGACAGGAGTATCATTGACGCTGCCAGTGGGGGAGTACTTGCAAACAAGACACCGAGGGAAGCGTGGGAGCTCATCGAAGCCATGGCAGAGAACTCCCAGCAATTTGGCTTCCGTGAGAGCAACCCGCCCCGTAGAGTCAACGAGGTAGAGACTTCATCCTTACAGCAGCAACTGTCAGAATTGACATCGGTTGTTAGGCAATTAGCCATGAGAGACATGCCGCGAGCGAAAGTATGTGGAATCTGCACTAGCATGGACCATTGCACAGACTCGTGCCCCATTTTGCAAGAGGACGGGGCAGAACAAGTAAACATGGTCGGAGGCGTGCCCGCGCCCCGTAGGCAATACGATCCGTATTCCAATACGTACAATCCTGGTTGGAGAGATCACCCCAATCTCAGCTATGGTAGTAGGCCACAAAATGTATTCTCCAATCGGCCTCTAGGATTTCAGCAACCGTGGCAACATAAGTCTCAACCCTCATCCTCAAGCTCAGGGAGTTCTTTGGAAGAAATTGTCAAGAGTTTGGCCAACACTACCACTCAACTTGTCACAACCACCACTCAGTTCCAACAGGACACAAAATCAGGCATGAAGGATATGGAGATTCGAATGAGTCAAATGGCAACTGCCATTAATCGCCTAGAGTCCCATGTTTATGGAAAATTACCATCTCAACCCGAGCCAAATCCCAGGAATGTAAGTGCTATGACTCTAAGGAGTGGCAAAGAGGTGGAGGGACCTAAGTTGGTAAATTCAAAAAGCAAAAATGAGGAGGAGATAGAAAAGGAGATTGAAGAGGAAGGGCGCATTCGCGAAGAGCCTAAGGTAACATCTATTCCTTCGATCCCTATTAAATCTAATATAGCTCCTTTTCCTTGCAGGTTGGGAAAGACAAAGAGGGCAGAAAAGGAAAAAGAAATCCTGGATGTGTTCCGCAAAGTTCAAGTAAACATCCCCCTATTGGACGCGATCAAACAGGTACCCAAGTACGCAAAGTTCTTGAAAGACTTGTGCGTTAACAAAAGAAAGCTAAGGGGTGATGAAAGAGTGATGGTAGGAGAGAATGTATCAGCTGTACTTCAAAGGAAACTCCCACCCAAATGCGGAGATCCAGGTATATTTGCTATCCCCTGTAAGATTGGTCATTCTAGTATCAAAAATGCCATGATAGATTTAGGAGCTTCTATTAATGTGATGCCTAAGTCAATCTATGATTCCCTAAATTTAGGACCTTTAAAAGAAACGGGGATAATAATTCAATTGGCTAATCGTACATGTGCTTATCCGGATGGGATAGTTGAGGATGTTTTAGTGCAAGTAAATGGATTAATTTTTCCTGCTGATTTTTATGTGCTTTACATGGATGATAGAAGTGCCCCAAATCCATCACCCATTATATTAGAAAGACCATTTTTGAGTACTGCCCAGACTGAAATTGATGTTAGTAAGGGTACTCTCACGATGGAATTTGATGGAGAAATAGTCCACTTTAATATTTTTGATACAATGAAACATCCTGTTAACTCTCATTCTGTGTTTGCTATGTATACCACTAATCCTTCTGTGCAAGAATTTTCTAAGTTTGCTTATAGGGGTAAATCCAAGGTTGCTGCGAACAAGTCCTGTAGGATGAAAGCAATTCATGAGGTAAAAATAGAGAGAAAATTTAGGAAAAAAGTTGCACTCAATGGCCATGTGGATCCTGGAGGAGAGCCACCAATTACAAGGAAAATTCAATTACATCCAGACTAAAGAGTGGTGCTATGTCTAGCCAAAGACATTAAAGAAAGGCGCTGCTTGGGAGGCAACCCAAGGCTTCTTTTGTTTTAGTTTTCTTATATTTTTGAAGTTTTTGTTAAGTGTTAGTGTCATTTAGTGGGTTGTTATTTTGTGACAGGAAGTTGGCAGCTAGACATACCCACGCTAGGTCATCACACCTAAGGAATGGAGTTTTGGAATTGACGGTCAGACGACTATAACTTCTAAGGCTTGTCCACGCCTTCCAACCCTTCCAAAAAAGAAACTTCAGTCTTCTCCTTCCTGTTGGTGTTACGTCCGCCGCCACCACACCACCTTGTGCACGCAGCCGTCTCACCTCCTCCGTCTTAGTGTCTCACTTTCTCTCCCCGGTGGTCAGGGAAGTTTCTTTTCTTTTCCCCTAATACTTCATTTGTCTTTTCTACATTGAGGACAATGTAGGTTTTAGGTGTGGGGGGGGGGGATTAATGGCTTCCATTATTATTATTATTATTATTATTTTCTTTGGTACTAACAAAAACAAAAAAAAAACAAAAAAAAAATAAAACATTGTAGTTAGGCAGCTTTTTGGCTATTTCTATGCTTGTTAGTATTAGGGCATGTTGCTGTGATGAATGACACAATCAAAGTGAGTGGGTATGTGGTCGAATATACTAGCTGTGCATTTTGTTTCCCTTGGCAGTGTCGTTGAATGTTGAATATGCTGGAATTGACCCATTCTTGTAACTTTTGGGGGAGCTTTTGAGCCTTATATGAGTACATTATTCTTGTTTGCTCTATTTTTGTTTGATTGAGTGGGTATCACACATGGTATTGGCATTCTAGAACTTGCTAGTTTACACATGTCAAGGCCACATTTTTGTTGAATTGGATGCATTTGAAATGATAAGGGCATTTAGGATTTAACCCTCTTTAGCTATCTAAAAAAATCAAGCCCTCATCTTATCTCCCAATAGTGAACCAATTTGAGCTTTTGTCCTTCGTTTCTGATTGTTATCCGTGTTTGTTAACCCAAGCCCTCTTTAAACTTTCTTGTTTACCCCTGTGTTGTCAAGGGATGCCTGAATTCCATCATTTGTGCAAAGCAAACAAAATTGGAGTTGCAAGTGCTGTTAGATTAGGAGCTATATGATGCTATCCTTGTATAAAAAAGGGAAAATTGGAAAAAGGCCACTGACCAGAGGACTTTGGCTTACAGGGCGTGCCCACGCCTTACAGGACTTTCTCCTCAAAAAAAAAAAATCCTGAAGAGACCTCGTGACCAGAGGACTATGGGCTACAAGGCGTGCCCACGCCTTGCGAGCAGTATTCAATCAAAAAAAAAAGAGAGAGAAAGAGAAAAAAATTGGGGACACTTGTACAAAGGGTACAGCAAATGAAAACTGCCTTGTTTGTGAAACTCCTCCGGTGAAGCACTGTGGTTATTGGTGGGTTTCAGACATTCTCTTGACACTTTACCCCCTATCTATACTTTCTTAACCCGCTTTTCACCTGAGCCCCATTACAACCTTATTAAAGTCCCTTTGATTTATGTGTTTGGTTCACTTTTAAGTGGTGGAGATGTGATGAATGTGCAAGCCTATGGTAATGGCATTCCGTGATGTTGATTTGAGCGTTCCTAGTATTCATATATATTCTTTGAATTACAACGGGTCCGGTGTGCTCTACTTTTGGTGATATTGTCAGGGACACTAGATGCTTGTGTTAGTATAGACTACTGCATGACCTCCGCTCTCTTGGTTGTACTTCTGAGCTTTGAAATGCTTGAGGGCAAGCATTGTCTAGGTGTGGGGGGATTTGATAGAGCAGTTATTGGGCATATTTTGCAGTGTTATTTTGGCTTAATTTTGGCTATTTACGGTGCTAAGTACTGAGGTTTAACTCATATCTCACATTCGTATGAATTATAGGTGATCGGCATTAAAAATGATCTCGCGGGGTAGATTTCCAGAAGACTTGTCGTCCCAGGGCGTGACCACGCCTTGGAAAGTGGACGAAACCGAAAGACGGACCGTGGTCCATGTGGACCAGCCGCATGGGATCAAAACTCCAAAAGGGAAATAGCTTTTACGTTGCTTTGAAGAGAGAATTTTCCTGCGGCGGCTAGAAGAAAAAAAGAAAGCAAGATTCAGGCCCACAACTTTTTAGCCTTAGGTTCTCTTTTCCTACTTTTAAAAAGAAGAGAGTTGTCAGACGTTTTTCTCTCTTTTTTGGAGGGGGTTTTGACTGTTGTTCCTTCTGCGGCTCTGGGTCAGACGCTTTCCCCGGTTTTCTTTCTTTTACTTTTGTTTCGCCTACGGCTAGCGGCCAGACATTGAATATTTCTGCGGATTGCACTTGGGCTCTGTACAACGGAAACCCTTTTCACTTTTTGCTTTTTACTCTTCTAAATTCCGTGAGATTCCCCTTGTGTTTCTCCAATTCTTCGGAAATCAATTGAATGTATTCAATCAAATTACGCGGGATTGACACGATGAGGAGCGGCTAATTTCCTCCTCTACCCAAAGGTTGACGCGAAGGCGTGGTCCATAATATCTGTGAGATCTAACCGAATCTTCATTATTTCCTCCAATTAATTGCTATTCGTGCGTTTCCTGAATTAATTGTTCATGGGTATTTTATTAATTGAATATCAACGGCCGGGTATTTGATTTAATTTAATAGCCTACTGCCACGTTAATTAAATAGAATCCGTAATTGTTCATTTAGTTAACACCCTGTGGCAACTACCATAATTGGTTTTATGATGGGGAAACGCAAGATCTAATTTAAATAAACCCTCTTAGCGTGTGTATTGGTTAGGGTTGGGTTCTTCTAGCTTTAATGCAATTGGGTAATTAAATTCCTACGGTCGTACCTAGGGTTGTTATCTAGTTAGAGAAGCAGTCAATGGTCGTACCTTGACTGTCGAAAAAGTAAGGAAGACCTGGTTGTCAGAGCTTATTGATGGCTATAACCAACCTAGTGATAAATGGATGAAATATCTTTGCATCGATGAGCATTTATTTGGACCGTGCCTGAGCAGTTAATCCTTTGGGTAGACTTTTATTAATTGCTATTTTTAGTGAATTGTGCTTTGTGAGTTGGTTTTGAATTTAGTTCGCTTCATTTTTATTTTACTTTTATTTTATTTATTTCCCTCCCATGAAAATCCCCCAATTTTGCTCTGCTGATTTGGAAAGAAATAATTTCCTACCTGCTCCCTGTGGAATCGACCCTACTTGCCATTGTACGCAAAATTAGTATTTTTATAGACAAACCCGGTATATTGGATCAAGCAAACTCTTCGGGAATAGGGTGAATCGAGTAACCCATTGCACACCTAGGGTCCCTGCTCCAGTACTTGGATTTGTTCTATAATTATTTAATTGAGGTGGTAATTAGGACTTTTTAGTAATTATTATTGCACAGGTTCGGCACCTGTCAAGCAATAAGTAAGTTTAAACTAAACCCAAATTAAACTCACAGCCAAAATTTTGGGGTGAATTCTTAGTTTATGATGAAAAAAAAAAATCATTCTACAACTGGAACGATTTTTGGAGGTTGTTCTATACAAATGGGGTTTTCGCATTCCGGGAATGCGAGCTCAGTGCCAGCTCACCGAGCTCGCATTCCGCAAATGCAGCTCGCATTCGCGGAATGCGAGTTCACTGTATACCAAGAAAGGTCAATAGGAAATACTGTAGTAGGAATAGTAATAGCGGGGGGAGGTATGGTACAGGTAAAGTAACAGAGACAAAGAAGAAAAGTAAAAGCAAGAAGAGAGGGCAGAGAGGAGACAGGCAGCAGTAACATTTCAAAAACCCGTACAATCTTCTCATGATCCAGCCACGCTACTGTTGTGTTCTTCAGTCACCAACTCTTATAAAGCTTACACCAAAAAACAAACAAAAATAATCCATAATTTTATTTTATTTTTGATAGTACTTACTCCTACTACTATTACAATAACCATGATAACCATAACCATTTGGTTTTCACCTTTTAGTTGGGACATCATCCTTAGCAGGATTACTACTTGCAACTCTTGAGAGCCTTTGAACCCTTTTCCTTTTACCACTCGACATTAAAAGTCATATTATATTATTAACAAGAGGAGAAGACCCCCAGCCATGACAAAAGAGAGAAAAAAAAAAAAGAAACCAAGGACCGCTTCTTTAGTTTATGGACCCCCAGCCATAAAGGCAGCATAGTTGCGGCAGTAGCAGCAGATGCAACAGAGAGGTGCAGTGGAGAGCTCATTAAGTAGAGCGAATGCGAGCTCTACAGAGCTGAGCTCAATAAGTAGACCTCGCATTTTGCGAATGCGAGCTCAATAGAGCTGAGCTCGCATTCGTCAAATGCGAAGACCCCCCTACGGAATGCCTCTTCAAAATCATCCCTTTTGTAGAATTTTTTTAAAATTCATCACAAAATTGGAAATTTCTCCAAAATTTTGTGAGTCAATTATAAGTTTCACATTTATTAATCCGAAATTTATAACCCAAAATCTGAGAGTGGTACTAACTATGCGAAATGAGTCTGGGTTTGTTAAAACCCGACTCAAATAACCCCATTGACAGGCTAAGAGATAGGAAGTCTGTGTGAGAAGTTCTAAGTTCAAACTCTCTCACTTACACTTAAATTAACGTGGTCACATGCATGATGAACATTCAGCTCTTAGGAGCACGTTCATATCTTCGGGCAGACTTTGGATTTGTTGAATTATTTGTTCAATTTTGACGAGAAATCTTTCTGCTGTCTGAGTAGTACGTACAGGAATGGTTGAAGTGAGTGTGTTGTACGTGTGAGAGAGGTAATTAGCGGATAATTTTTGCCAAATTTGACCTATGTGTCTTTTTTCTTGTCGTTGTTCCTACGGATACAACCCAACTTGTAGATGTAGAGTCTCAAGCCAGACAAAGATAGCTTGTGAGCCCGCCCGCCATGGAACATAAGAATTACAATTTACGTTCCGATCGATGTCAGTTATTAACGGAGAATTACGTATATTTTATTGGCATCTAGAATTTATTTGGTAACAGGCAGACGTTCATCTTTCCTGCATCAAGAATTTTTTTTTTTTTGTAGGAGAAAATTCTTACATTTGCAAAATCGACTAGTGACCCAGCCGCCTGGAGGGTCCCAGTCCAGTGTCCACAAAGCTACTCAAGCGATCCATTTGCTTCCCCTACAAAAGAGTTTGAATTGAATTCTCTTCCATTCTTCTGCATTTGCCGATCAGGAGAACTTGAGGAGCAGAATAAACAAGAACTGCATACTCCTATTCCTCAAAAGTTAATAATAATGTCAATCCTACGATTTCAATCGGATCGTGCTGGAGCAGCATGGAGATCATGCATAGCTTCAGCCTTCCGAACAGCCTTAGCTTGCACAATTATTGGTTGCATCACCCTCTTTGACCCGCCTTCATTTAAGCATCAAATAGCATTTCCCGCTTTCTCCTACGTGACAGCAATTCTTCTTGTCACGGATGCCACAGTGGAGGACACCTTCCGTGGCTGTTGGCATGCCTTGTATGCTTCCGTCTTTGGTGTCTGTCCCGCCATCCTTAGCTTATGGTTAATGGGGCCAGCCCAGCTAACCATTTGCACCACCCCCGTTGCGGTGGCGCTTAGCGCATTTGTGGTGGTGCTGCCTGAAAACAGCCACCTGATATCAAAGCGTATAGCACTCGGCCAGATTGTTGTTGTCTACGTATTAGCTTTCATCAATGGTCCCAAAACTGACCCTATTTTGCACCCCATCCACGTCTTAGCCAGTACGGCTATTGGAGCCGTGGCTTGTGTTTTGGCCTCGTTGCTTCCTTACCCAAGCTTGGCATGTTACGAGGTAATTTCCTGAAATTCTGTAAACATTATTACCCGAAGGTACTCTCTTTATTTTTTGGGAAGCATATCCGAACGTATTCTTATGGTAGCGTCTCATATCATTGTATAATACTGGAAATTCTCGAATAGACAAGATTACTTGTAGACCATGAGAAGGTCAGTTATAGACCGAGTTCATGGGTACGTCAAGACACAAATATACAGACTCTCACATGTGAATGTAGGACTCACGTATCTGTCGCTTGATGTATTCATACATCGGGTCCATAATAAAAAAAGACCTAATAATACAAGATGTTGTAAGAAATAAGTAGGTAATGCATAATGACGTAAGAAAATAAACGTATTCAAGCTGTCAAAGTATATCACATGATTTATAAGTGAGTTTGTAAACACGGTCCACCGAATATTCTGTTAGTTTAGGTGACGGAGGATATCATTCTTGTCTCATGTGACGTCAAAAATATATTGAACTGTACTTCAAGTACGTGCTCCATGACGAGAATTATTTCTTTTTTATTTATTTATTTATTTTTGGGAAGACAGGTAAAGAAGAAATTCAAGCTTTACACTAAGAATGCTTCGGAGAGGGTAGGGGTCCTTATGAAGGCGTTCTCTGCACAAGACGAAACATCAGCACAAGCACTGATTTTGCAATCCAAGTCCTTGGCTCGCACCGGAACCAAATTGCTTAGGAGCATCAAATCCAAGCAGGTAAGCTCACTTGAAAAGCTGTATCCTTACCCTAATGGGGCTACAACTTCTATTATAGGAATTGGACCATAGGCACTAACTATTTACGATGATTTTTTTTCTTTCCCTTGTGAAACAGGAAAGTATGCTATGGGGAAGGGTTCCAGTCAAATTTTTGAAACCTTACTGCACGAATCCAGGACAGATATTGCAAGAAATTGAGACACCTTTAAGAGGGATGGAAATTGCTTTGTCCAATGGTACCGTACCATTTCCAGAGCGCAAAGATGATCTAGCAGGAATTGAGGAGCTTATTTCGCGTCATATTAAAAGCATGCCCCTTACTGTCC